ATATATATATATATATATATATATATATATATATATATATATATATATATATATATATATATATATATATATATATATATATATATATAAGGCCATCGTAAACTCAAATAAAATCATGAGAAATTAAAATTCATCATCGAAATCGATCATATTTACAACTAGAAGACGTGTCTATCGTCAAACCCGAACCTTGGCAATAAATTACGGTGTTTGGGAGTTGAAGTTGAATCAATATGATGCCGATGAAAAGGTTGACTTTTAATGACCCATTGGTACGAGTTTTAGGGTGGTCTCCTGTTACTTTAAGATTCGTGCGTTGACAAAGAGATCGATGGGATAACGACATCCTTCCCGGGACTTCCAGAGAGTTCCATCATCGCTAAGGGGGAATCGGACGGGAACCGTGTTCCGACGGTCCAGATCGGCCCCCCGCGAAAGCCTTCAAAGAAAACCTCATCTATGCCTCTTCACCGGCTGCGGTTTGCTCTGTGCGAAAGCAAAGCCTTATACACGCCCCAAACCCTCCCCCTTGCCACCACGATCATCTCGCCCTCGCAAATTAGCGCAGTTATCTCCTTTCTCTCCTCCCAAATCCTCCCGCGGGCGTAGGTCGGTGTCATTTGCTATTTCCTCTTCTCCGTTCGCTTTTTCCTCAAATAAGTGGTATGGTGGTGATGCTTTCCAGGTCTGGCTTCGATTTCCCTGGGCAAATGAGTGTTTGTGCGTGTCCTTGGGTAAAATTGAGGTTTTGCCAGTGCTCGTAGCTGTGCGAGAACGTTCGTGCGTGCTGTGTGAAGGGGGTTTTCGTTGTTATGAGTTAAGCACGGTGTCGATGGACGTGCGCATTTCGTTATTTTTGGTGATTGTCTAAGTGCCAAGATTCCTCTTTATTTGATCATGTTTCTGTATCTTGTCGAAGATTTGTTGCGAGTTTATGCCATTGCGTAATTGTAAGTGAAAGAGAAGATAGAGAAAGCGAGGACTTTCACCTAGGTTTGGTGGAGGTGTCGCGACCATGGTGGAACAGTTAGAGTGTTGTTAGCTGCGTGCAAAAGGAATGAACGTTTTGTGCGTGGGTATGAGTCATCGATTAAGGTACTTCTCATCGGAAACAAGTATCGAAATACCGTGATTTAGAGCATACGGTGCCAAGGTTGATTAAAATTCATGTGACAGATAATGAATTTTATCTGTCCTATGAATCACAATATTAATTCTTTTTTCTATTCAAGCTTTTTCTTTTTCATTTTTTCTTTTGTGTTCATTGTTGAAGTGCCTCAATTCTTTGGATCTGCATACGTTGAAACTCTTAGCGTAGCAGGTCCCATTATTTTCTCTTGGTGAAAGTTGCTTGTTATAGCTATGCAAAGTATTTCATGCAAAATATTTCTTATTTCTTGGTCTATGTTTCATTACATTGTTATCTTGCCTCCCAAGACGAATGAAATAGGTGCAGTAGAAATGTTATGCTGAATATTTTGCTTTTGCAGTGATGTAGGTTCATGTTTTGGATGTTAAATTGAGTGGAGATAGATCAGTATGAAGCTGAGGGTGGTATGTAGGAAACTTTATGATTATGTTCGTTATGATCTAAAGGAAATTGCTTTTCCTTCCTCTCTGCCTGACCCCCCACATATCAAGAAACGAAGGAAACTTACATGGAGAGAGCGATGGTATGTCTTGAAAGAAGCATCTAGACTTTACGCTGCTAGCTGGGTGCGGGATATTGGTCCCGATCTTAGACCAAATGACTATAAAAAGGTCACAAATGATGATGGTGGACTTCGTCAAGATAACACTACATCTGCAAGAAGAGAACAATCAACATTGGAAGATCTTGCAGTGGCAGCTCGAGGTGGAATGGAGACATTAAGGCCTGCTCTGCAGCGTGTGTATATGATGCGTGCCTCAGCATACAAAGATGCACTTAAAAGCTTTATACAAGGGTACCAGGAAGGGATAAAGCAAGTCATGGAAGGAAAGGAAGGTGAAAAGTCTCGGGCGCAAGAGAACGATGTAAAGAAGTCTAGTTGATATCTTTTCACCAAGAAAGTTTGTCAGGTATTCACCAGCTGGTGCCTAGTCAAAATTTTGTTATATAGATTAATTGTTCGAATTCTATCGAGGATATTATTTTCCTGGCTTGTGATAGGTTTAGCCATCTATTTATGATTTTTTTTTTCTCATAATGAATTGTAGGCTTGTCTAAATCTTTCTTTTTCTTGTGATCCTCGTTTTTGAAAATGAAAAATTTTAAGAGACATTTTGCAATTAATTGTTCAAACTTGTGTTTGTTGGATTCCTCTTGTTTGTATCAGTCGGCATGATTTGCTGAGATTGCATGCCACAGATGTGCCAGATACACTGGGTCTCATTATTCAAGCTCTTCCTACCTTATGCATTCATGATGGCTGTATCATCATCGACAATTTATTTCTTGCTTAACCTGTGGAACAATCAATCTTAGGCTACAACCTTTGCACAATTCAGGTTTGTTTTCCTATAAAGTAAGTAGTATGGTCAATTATATGTTCCTCATGCCGAATCTTTTGAGTTTGATGTGCTTCGGAACCATTCAAGTACAATGTTTGTTACAAGTCTTGGAATTCCATATTTATCTTGGTTTCTGCAGATGCTCGATCAAGATGTACACTTGTTGAGAGTTCTGTATCTCCTGCTTGCTCCCTCTCTTCATTGGATGGCATGTCCCTCTGTGCTGGCTGAAGTGGAGCATCAGGGGAACTGTTTCTTGTTAGAAGTTCATGTCCTGTATCTCCTTTGTCTGCACTCCTTGTCTAGGGACGTAGAGATGTAAGAGATAGAGGCACATGAGGTTGATTTAAATAGGTTCACGGATGGATAGAGGGATGTTATGGGTAAAAAAAATTAATTATTTGAGATTTTTCTAGATAAACTGCTCAACATATATCGATTAATATCTTCATCATGTATCACATGCCATGCAAAGTATTACCTCTTTTCCTTAAGATTATACATGCCTTTGATGGTGCTATGGTAGACATAATAATCATCTAAGGTACCAAAAATTTTCTATCATAAGGACTATCTTTAATGGATGTCCAAATTCCCAAGAGTTGTGAGGAGGAAAGTGATCAACTAATGTGAATGAAGTCATACAACTTCCTAAACTTCAAAAGAAATTCAAGTTAAATAGACAAGCCAAAAGTATAATGTTGTTCTATGAGATAACAGATTTCCCACAGAATATACCCTGACAAATCACAACACAAGCTTAAGCCAAACATGAAATCAGAATATCAACAAAGGTAATTATGGTAACACTTGATCCATTCAAACATCCAAATGAACTTAATATAGAAAACAGTATGTACATCCCATAAATGAATGCTCATAAACAAATTGGAAGATATCTCTATAGGTGTCTATCTACCTTCAGTTTATGACTGTTGCTGAAAATTTTCATATAAGAGAGAAATAACATTGCTGAGGGCAAATTTACAGCAATATTCTGTGAGAACACCAGGGTGTGACAACAAGATTCTCTTCAACCTTTTTCTTTTGCTCCACTGTTGTAGCATAAAAATTCACCATCATATCGAGAACCTGCAGTGATTAGTAAAGTCTGGTGTAAGACTTTGTTCACTTAACAAAAAAAAGCCAATAATACCCTCAGATGGAAATTTAACATTGCAAACATGTAGTATTTTTAGTTGTTGGAAGATGTTATATAAGTATACAACAAAGTCTAATATGTTATATGAAGCATGAGACTCCTTTGCCAGCATACATGCCAAAGAAAAGCATATAGGAAAAAAATCAATGAAAACAACGCAAAATTGAAGTATTTAACTATCATGATATCGTCATATTTTGCAGCCAATAGCATTAATCTTATTGTGCATACCTCAGCAATAGAATGCGAACCATTTCTATGATAGCAAGAGTGGATTCATGCAATCTCTCTAGGTCCCTTTGACTTGATGGAGTCCTTTTTAAGCCACTTGCACGAAGAATTACCCTTCTTCTCTTCAAACTTCCTTTTCTTGTCACAGGACTTCTTACAGTTGATTTTTTAGTTGTTTCAGGTCTGATCCCAAGACGAACCATTTCTTCAGTTGTGGATGGATAAGGACAGCTACTCACACGCTTGCCATTGTCTCTATACTTTGATTTTGGCATATAAATCCTTTATCTTTCTTAAAAGAATCATCATCATGAGATGAAAAGGTCTGGATACACATTGATAACAAACCAAGCCTCTTCTCAAGCACCTGCTTTTGCAAGTGCATATTTGGAGGCTGTGATGAGTCCCTTTTTCTATTTTGTGGAGCAGAATGTTTGTGTTCATCAAAATGTTTACTGATAGTTGCATATTCTGCTTTTTTGGCTTCCCGAATATAAGATATATGCAACCTACTATCACGACCGGTCGTCGCGCACCCGCAACAACTCCGTTCAACGAACCGTTCATCGCTCTCATCGACATGTACAGCTGCTTGACAGCATGTTTTGTCTTGGTTTTGAGTCATTTTGCTTAAAAATGTAAGTTCGAACAAGTTACAATGCTACAAAGCGATCGCTCACCGAACCGAGCAAAACAATCCCAAAACAGCTCCGTTTTCGTGTGTCGCGGGCTATTTTCTACGGTTCGTTTCTGCTCACAAAACGTCAGCCATCTCAGCCCCTTGGAACCACCCGGGTGGCACAAAGCTGGATGGGGCTTCGGTATAGTGTCGGGCGTTGAACAATCTTTCGCAAGTTCGCACGTTACCTTAACGGGAAATTGTTGTCGCGCCTGGCACCCGGTGAACAATTGTTTGTGGACTTGCAGCTATTCGTTCAACCTTCTAAAGTCCTTGTTTTCTCTCTCTCCCTCTTTTCTCTTATGCACGCAAGGTGCTCGTAAAGCTTTCCCTTTTCGTGAGACGTCGGGACTTGTCCGTCGCTCGTTCTTTGAACTAATCAATTTTCTCTTTTACAGGTCCTTCGGGACCTGCAAGAGGTTGCAAGTGCGCTAATCTTTGCGGACGCAAATTGTAAGGGCGAAGCAGGACTTAGGCAACACAAGCTAAGTTCGCGTCTTTGCCATAAGGGTACCTCGCAACTTAGGCAACGCAAGCTAAGTTCGCGTCTTGACCGCAAGGGTGCCTCACGTCTTAGGCAATTCCAGCTAAGGTCGTGACACTACAGATGACAACCAATTAATAGAGACCTAGTAGAAAACGAGTTTTGTGGTTTAAAATAAGTATTTTAGTAACTGATTTATCCTAGGAAAAACATGAGACAAGTGGGACATAATGTTATATTAAAAAACAAAAACAAGTTTGACAAAGAGAAAGAAACATATATGAACATGGAGAAATTAGAAGGAAACGGTTGGTGCTGCCTATTGCATTTTTACCGTAGAATAATTGGAGAATAAAAGTGGGCATTGTGCTCTTCAAAAGACAATCTAGGTTTCACCATATTGTACATATAAATCAAGACACCACACAACACGGTAAAGCGTAAGAAAATATAAATGAAATTGGAATATTTTCTATCTTTGTCTATTCTTTCACTTTCATATTCTGTTAATGAAAATAATGATAGTCTTAATGTTATTGGTATTATTATTATTTTGTTTAATTTTAATGTATAATAATATAATAAATATAGTCCGCAAATTGTCTTCTACCGCAGTCTTCTCACTATGAGCCTTTCGTCTATTAAATTTTGCATAATATGTGCCCTTCCTTCTATTGAAAAGAAAAAAATACAAATGAACATGTGGTTTGCCTATAGTTCGACAAAGAAAAAGTGTATATATATATAAAGAGAGAGAGATTGAGGAAAGGAAGAAAATATAATAAAGAAGATGATAAAAATACTATGGAAACAAATAACAAATACAAGATTAAGAACACTATAGAAAATATATTTAGGCTTCAAACATATATAAATATTTTTTTAAAAGCGATATTTACACCATCTTCTCAACAAGATTGCTATGGGTTTGATGTAAATAGTTTTAATGGATATGACAAACCTCTAGAAGATCTATATTGAGCAAACAATAAAAATTCTTCAAAAAAGAATTAAAGAATATCTAATTCAATCGAATTATCAAGAAAGAACAAGAATATAAAAGAGATATATTTATAATTTACTCTCAAATACTTATTTATAGATATTTTATCTTTAAAAAATAACTACCAAAATAACTACAAATAAATCTTTTGAAAAGAAATCCTTTTGTTTTTAAATTTGAACAATTTATAACAGAACCCACCTTTGCTTGTGTGACGATTAGGCTGTGGAGGGATGGAACATCCTGAATTTGAAACCCTAAGGCGCTCCAAGATTCGATCTTTAGAGCGAGGAGAGAGGCCTGCGACACTTTCCACGACGAGACGTTCTGACCGGCGGTGACGAGGTCCCGGTGAGCCTTAGTGGCGGCGGCATCAACCCCGTCAAGAAGGGCTTGGGGGAAGGATTCGGCTGAGGAAAGAATCGGTTCAGGAGGTAGCGCATAATGGGAGGTTGGAGGAAGCTAGGGTTCTGGAGGGTTTACATGGCCTTGAAGATTGCCGGGAAAGGCGAAGTTAAGATTCTGAGGGGGGTAGGATGGGTGGCGGAAACCCCCACCGCCAGAGCGGGTGTTCGACGGCGGCCGATACATGACGCCGACGGTGAAGAAAGCGCTCCCAAGGGGTAAAAGAGGAGGGAGAGAGTCGCTATAAGAAACGGTTTGTGCGGGACAAAGTGATCCATAATATATATATTAATAAATAACAAATTAACATCAAAGTCGCTTTGGCCGAGTGGTTAAGGCGTGTGCCTGCTAAGTACATGGGGTTTCCCCGCGAGAGTTCGAATCTCTCAGGCGACGTTTAATTTCTTTTTTGTTTGTTTGTATTTCAAACAAAATAATGCCAAGTAATTAATCCCATATCAGACGATTGGCCAACAAATCCAACATAAAGAAAATAATTTCGAAGGTATAAAATAATAATTTAGAAAAACCAAAGTATTATTTATTATGTATATATATATCTAAGGCTATCGTAAACTCAAATAAAATCATGAGAAAATAAAATACATCATCGAAATCGATCATATTTACAACTACAAGACGTGTCTATGGTCAAACCCGAACTTGGGCAATAAATTACGGTGTTTGGGAGTTGAAGTTGAATCAATACGATGCCGATAAAAAGGTTGACTCTTAATGACCGGTGGGTACGAGTTTTAGGGTGGTCTCCTGTTACTTTAAGATTCGTGCGTCGACAAAGAGATCGACAGGATGACGATATCCTTCCCGGGACCTCCAGAGAGTTCCATCATCGGTAAGGGGGGGAAACGGACGGGATCCGTGTTCCGACGGTCCAGATCGGCCCCCTGCGAAAGCCTTCAAATAAAACCTCATCTATGCCTCTCACCCGCTGCAGTTTGCTCTGTGCGAAAGCAAAGCATTATACACGCCCCAAACCCTACCCCTTGCCACCACGATCATCTCGCCCGCCCTCGCAAATTAGCGCAGTTATCTCCTTTCTCTCCTCCCAAATCCTCCCGCGGGCGTAGGTCGGTGTCATTTTCTATTTCCTCTTCTCCGTTCGCTTTTTCCTCAAATAAGTGGTATGGTGGTGATGCTTTCTAGGTCTAGCTTCGATTTCCCTGGGTAAATGAGTGTTTTGCGTGTCCTTGGGTAAAATGTGAGGTTTTGGCAGTGCTCGTAGCTGTGCGAGAGCGTTCGTGCGTGCGGTGCGAAGGGGGTTTTCGTTGTTATGAGTGAAGCATGGTGTGGATGGACGTGCACATTTTGTTATTTTTGGTGATTGTCTAAGTGCAAAGATTCCTCTTTATTTGATCATGTTTCTGTATCTTGTCGAAGATCTGTTGCGAGTTTTTGTCATTGCGTTGTAAGTGAA